TGCAGAGGACCTGGGTTTGATGGTGACACACAGCCACTGTAACTCCACTTCTCGGGGATCCAAGGACCTCTCTGACCTCTGTGGGCACCAGGCACACAGATACACATGCAGGCAAACATTCAAACACATGGAAAGAAAGAAACATAAAAAAGAACAGCATTTAAGGGCTGGAGAGATGGCTCAGAGGTTAAGAACACTGGCTGTTCTTCCAAAGGTCCTGAGTTCAGTTCCCAGCAACCACATGGTGGCTCAGAACCATCTATAATGAGATCTGGTGCCCTCTTCTGGTGTGCAGGTGTACAAGCAGACAGAGCATTGTATATATAATAAATAAATAAAACAAACAAACAAAAAAAAGAACAGCATTTAAGACAAACACCTATCGCTCTCCCTTTGAGGAAGGAGAAATGAGCCAACCCTGACCCCACTGTCCCTTCTTCCCACCTGCAGGCCAGTGCACCAGGCTCTGGATCAACTATAGCCTAGATTTTTCAAAAAGCAATTAATTTAACTGGGCCTAGTGGCTCATGGCTGTAGTCACAGCTACTCAGGAGATGAAGCAGAAGGATCACAAATTCAAGGCCAGTCCAAACAACAGAGTGAAGTCAAAGACTAGCCTAGACAACTCTGTGTCACTGTCTCAAAACGAACAAACACACAACAAAAAGAGGGCCGGCAAGATGGCTTCCAAGGGCAACGTGCTCGCTGTCAAGCCTGAGTTCATCCCCAGATCCCACGGGAGAAGAATTGACCCTCGAAAGTTGTCCTCTGACTTCTGCCTACAGATGTGGCAGTTTGAACAGGAATGGCTCCCATACACCACGATTAGGAGGTCTGGCCTTGTTGGAATAGATGAAGCCTTGGAGGAAGCAAGGTCTCCTAAGCTCGAGTTTCACCCAGTGTGGTACCCAGTCCCCTTCTGCTGCCTGAAGATCAAAATGTGGAACTCTCGGCTTCTCCAGCACATTGCCTGCCTGCACGCTGCCATGCTTCCCGCCACGATGATAACGGACCACGCCCTCACTAAATGTTCTCCTTCATGATTTGACTTGGTCATGGTGTCTCTTCACAGCAATAAAACCCTGAGGCAGCATGTGAACATTCGCACTACATACACTTATACACAATGATAACATTTTGTCAGGAGATGGCTCAGTTGGTAAAGTACTTACACAAGCATGAGGACCTGAGTTCAGATCCCAAAACCCACATAGAAAGCACATGGGAAAAAACCAGATCCCCGGAGCTCACTGGGCAGCCAGTCCAGCCAATAGGTGAGGTCCAGACTCAGCGAGACCCTGTCTGAGACAGGCTGAGGAAACAACCTGAAACGTGGCTTCCCTCACATACCCACACACCCATACAAACACGGACAGCAACTATGCAGCAGTGACGGGGACGCCAGCAGGAGGTTAAGCCGCCAGTTCAGGAGCTAGAGACAGCTGAGCAGTTAGGCTCACATGCTCCACTGCTCCTGCTGGCGCCCTGGTTCAGGGCCTCGCCAGCACGTACTTGGTGGCCCACAGCCGCAGTTCTAGGCAGCCCAACACTTGGGCAGGCACCAGGCATGCATGTGGTACCGACCTAACATGCAGGGAAAGCAGTCATATACAGTAAAAAGTTCAAAGGAGAAGGCAAAGAGTAGGCAAGCACATACAGGCGTGAGGTGAGGATGAAGTGAATCTGTGAGAGCTGGGAGGCGGCCGCCTTCGCAGGCAGCGGTGAAGTGCAAGTGGTCCATCTCGGGGACTGCGCTCAGATGTTTTAGCTTACAGAGCTGTCAACAGCCCACAGACCTGCAGAGAAACTAACTACAGCCTGGAAGCAGCCCAGGAACTTCCCCAGGCAGCCGTGGACCGAAGCCTCCCACGGGGCCGCTGGTTCCAAAGTAGAATGCACAGGGAGGTCCTGCGTCTTGGGAAGAGCAGGGTCGAACTTTACACTGTGGTCCTATAAAACAATTGTGAAATCCCAGCCCTTCCCTGTCAGGCCGCCAGCCACCCTTCCCCCACAAGCACAGGCACAGGCACAGCCACAGCCACAGCCACACAACAGGCACAGCCACACCCCACGCCAGCCAATTCAGGTTTGGCAGACACTCCAAATCCCCATTTTCTGCCGCGTAAAGCACTTGCTGATTTGGGTTCTCAAGCACCAAGTGGATCGAAGGCCCTGATTCCTGCCTGGTTCCTGAGGCCACTCACCCTCCATCAGGCCCTGGGCTGCCTCTCTCCACCCTACCTCCTGTGGGAGACTGCCACCTCTGCTTGTCCATGCCACCTCTTCCAGCCCTGCTCACTCCTGCAAAGCCAAGCCCCAGACACTCTCGGAGCCCTTGCCCTTCTTCTTGGGAGTCACTAGTCAGAGACCTCTCCTTCCCTCTTGGCACAGACATGGTGTTTCTGCCAGGCTATCTAGACTTATGGCGATGCACCAGAAACAGTAAATTTTAAAGTTTTATATAAAAGATTTCATCGGGTGAAAACATCTAACCTAGGACTCCTTGGAGAGCAACAGGGGACATATTGAGAAAGCTAGAGAGCCACTGGCCTAGCAACAGTGAGAAAACCTTCCCAAGAGCCTCAGCTTCTGACCCCCACAGGCAGGGCTTCCCACCCCACTGGCCTCTTCTACCGGCCCACATGTAGCCCTTACTCCAATCACTGGGCTTCCCTGAAAAGTTACATCTGCCAGTTCTGGGTGTTACTCTGAAACTAATTCACAACAAGTACTTTTATCCACTGGGCCATCTCCCCAGCAACCCCACTTTGTTTTTGAGACAGACTATATATTTTCTTGTCTTAGCAAGGGCTGGAGTTCCAGGCTGTACCCAACCTTAACCCTGTCCCTCCCTTTTGTCTTAAGACAGGGTCTCACTGTGTAGCCCTGGCTGCCCTGGAAGGCACTACCTAGACCCTGAACTCAGACCCCTATCTAAACCACACATGATCATGCTTACCCATCCCTAAGCCCACACCTGCTTCTGGCTCAGTTATCTTTACAGACATGAGAGAGAGAAGCAATCTGTGTACTCAGATAACTAAGGGCAAAAGTCAAGTGCAGACCTGAAATGGTACAACCGGGGAGGACAGGGACAGCCCAGTGACACACCTAGCACACCAGGAGCAGTGGGTCTCCTTTCAGGGCTCTGAGAGGTGAGTGATGCCATGAACCTTCTCTCTAGGAGCTCAAGTAAATTCAGAGTTGGGTGGGGAATGGCAGGGAAAGGGCAGCCAGGCTGCAGCTTTTGGTTGCACAGGTGGGTTCTCCAGCCCCTGATGCCCACTCTTGGGACCTCTCTGGGCATAGTGGCCCATGCCTTTAACACCAGCACTTGGGAGGCAGAGGCAGGTGGGTCTTCGTGAGTTCCAGGCCAGCCTGGTCTAAAGTGTCCAGGACAGCCAAGGCTACACAGAGAAAACCTGTTTCAAAAAAGGAAAAAAAAAAAAAAAAGCCACTGGACTTCACTCTAAAAAACTGCAGGGCCTCACCCACCTGTGGATGAGATCCCAACGGGGGAGAAAAGCAGCTGGTTAGAATTCCAGGCAGGGATTCTAACTTCAAAAATTTGGGAGAAGGCCAGGTGTGGTGGATCACACCTTAATTCCAGCACTCTCGGGGCTGAGGTAGGTGGGTCTCAGTGCGTTCAAGGCCAACTTGGTCAACACAGCAACAGAGTGTGGCAGCGCATGCCTAGGAGATAGGCACAGATCTATGTGAGTTCCAGGCCAGCATGGTCTATGTAGTGAGTTCCAGAAGAGCCTGAGCTACATAGGGAAGACCCGCCTCATGAAAGAACAAAAAAGAAAGAATAAATGGATGAACTTACAGGAGTCACTGAGCTGGCTCACCAAATTAAGCACACGCTGCCACACTGAGACCTAATTCCATCCCCAGGACCCACATAGTTTGAGAAGAAAACAATCTTCACTATCTTCCACAAATTGCCCTCCGATCTACACGCGCGCGCTGTGGCATGGGGGTAAAGGCGCATACACGCAAGTAAAAAGTGTTTTTTAAAAAGTTTATGAAAGTCACCAACACTTACGGTGACGCCTTTTACACATATTTAACTTACTCTGCAATAAAATCGCACGGAATGCATGAAGTGTTCCCATTTTCTCCCCAGGGGGGCCAAGCTTGGCAGAGCTTAGAACTCCGAAGGCTGCCAACTCCGTGGCACCGAACCTCCACGGGCCAAAGGAGCGGCCTCCCTCCCCACCGCTCCCGCGGACCCCTCGTGCCCCCGTCGCGCGCGGCCCACCGGTCGGCCACCCCGTCCCCCGCCCTCCTCCCTGCTCTGCACCGCGCAGCCAATGACCGGCAAGGAACAGAAAAACGCCCCACAGCACGGGAGGGACAGCGGGGACGCGTCCGGGGAGCCGCCGCCAAGCGCCCCGGGAGCGGAGGCGGGAGACGCCCAAGCTCTGGCTGGGGACGCGGGGGCGAGGACGCACCTCCTTATCCGGAACCCACTGCGGTTCCTCCAAGCCGAACGGGCTTCCGAAGGCGCGGTGCTCCGGCACCATGCGCAGGCCGCTGGGCGAGCGCACCAGCTTCTTGGCGTCGCGACGCGCGGCCACCCCCGAGGACATGTCTCCGCCTGAGCCCCTCACGCCGCCTCCCGCACAGAGCCCACACACGGCGCCACCCCTCCCCTCTCACCAGCATGATGACAGCGCCAGAGCCCAATCGGCAACCGCAGGTCGGAACAGGAGCCAATCGGAGAGTATCCGCCCCAGCGCCGCCCTTCTCCAATCCGCGCAAGGTCCCCGCCCCTGTGGCCATCCACCAATCGGCGGAGAGGGCAGGGGGCCGTTCTCCGCCCCTTTCGGGGCGATCGCGACTTTGGATTGGCCAATTTATCAGCCACGTAGACGCCTCTTCGTTTCTGCTGGGTGTGGCAGACTCCCACTTCGGCCGCTCATTGGAAGAGAAGACTGAGATGGGCGGGGCTTCCGGAGCGGGCGGAGAGCGCGGGAGAGCTGGCAGGGCGGCAGATCGTGAGTCGGGTTGCGGGAGAGGGCGAGGGGCACGGTGGGTTTCGAGCGCCCAGGCCGGGGCCGGTGCTCAAAGGACGAGCTTCCTCGGCGGGGCACGCCTTCAGGACCGTAGCGGGGTTTGGAGCAATCGAAGCCCGCGCCCCGGGCCTCCCCACGGGCGCCTCCGGTAGCAGCGATGCGGAGCGCGGGACCGGTCGCTGCAGGCTTGACCTGTGACTTTTTTCCTCGGTGGCGTTTCTAAGGACGGAGGCTCGCGGTGCGGGTAGCCCAGGCTGGCTTTGGGCTCCCCACAGTCCTGCCTCCGCCTTCCTAACCAATACAGCAGTGAGCCGCCGCGCGCATCTAATCCTCTGGTTTCTTTGGGTCTTTGGTCTCGCTTCCAAAACAGCGACCCAGGAGCTCTGCTCGCTCTGTCACAGCCTGCTCCCCAGTCGGAGGGATAGGCTGCTGTAGCCCCATCTCTGTAGAGGGCGTGAAGACCGGCGGCCAAGTGGAGCATCGAGCTCCGTGCCTCGGAGACACAGGTTCTCAGGATTGAAGGAACAGTTGCTCGATAGCAATTGTGTAGAGCAAGGCTGGCTGCCTCAAGGCCTTGACAGTTACTAGTACACTAACCGAACCGGCCCTGTGCTCCGTCCAGCCTCCACCAAGCGCTGCGATTGTTCGGGCCCACCACTGGGCAGGTTAGCTGATGGCTTGGGACCCTTTGGGCTCTGGCGCCAGGACTCTGCGTCCTCAGGAGGAAACATGTTCTCAAGCCAGCTTTTCTCCTCCTCTGCAGCTGACGGGTGGGATGCAGGCTTGCTCCAGTCTCGGCCTTCCTGATGCCACTATTGCCAGCCCTGCAAGTCTCCCTTGCAGCCAGAGAGGAGACTGATCTGGCACTTGACTCACACTGCACCCCAAGTACTGCCAGGGGAGTCTCGGTACCCGCACCCGGAGACCTCACTCAGCTGTTTTGAGAGTGCTAGGCCTCATACAAGAATCGGCCGCCCTCGGGCCGTGGCGGTGCCTTTACAGAGACAGGTGGATCTCAGACTTCCAGGCCAGCTGGGGCTATACAGAGAAAGCCACCCTGTCTCGAAAACCCGAAAGAGAACAAAAGGATGCCAGCTCAGCATGCAGCTGGCCATCGGCTGCTGGCCTTAGCACCCCAAGAGGTGTAGGTGTGTTGTATGTACATGTGTATGGCCGTTTGCGTGTGTACTGACGTGTGTGCATGTGTGAGAGCCTTAGCAACCCGAAGTTCACAGATACAGCTAGTCAGCCTGCTCTGGGGACCCTCACACTTGACAGCAAGCCTGGGCCACCCCTCAGCCCACCTCAGCAATTCCTGACATTGTCATTTGAAGCCATGCATGAGATTGCAGTCACATCTCTTGTCACACTGGACTGGTGCTAGCAGAGCCAGCCCAGGTGGGGGGGGGAGAGGCCTGGTGCCGCCCCACCAGGCCCCCTTCCTGGGAGGGGCTCCCAGTGCTTTCTGGGGAGGTAGAGCTGCAGCCCTGCCCCTTCTGGTTTCCTGAGGTTCAGTCCCAAACACACACAGTTAGAGAACGCTGAGCAAGACCCATGCATGTGGGCCTGGACCCACACATGCCCAAGAAGCTAAATGGGTGCAGCAGGCACCAGCTGGCTTCCTTCTCCTACTCCCAGCCGAGCTTCGGGCTCTGCCACCTCAGGAAGTCAGGAGCAGCTGAACTTGTTCTGTGCCTCGGCCTGGGTGAGCCTAGGCTTCTGAACTGATGGTGACAAAAGCATGGCCACGCGCCTTCATGGACAGTGGCCCCTGTCCTCGGCCTTCAGTGGGGCGCCTAACCTTTCACTTCAGACTGCCCTCTCGTGCGCCTCTTTCTCACGGGCTCACTCCCACAGGCCGTCCAAGATGACAGCCAGCACCCTGGGACTCGTTGCCATCGCTGCGTCCCTGTGAGTCACACATGGCGTGGTGAATCCACTGAGGAAATGGACTTGGATCAGCTGGACCTAAACCCCAGAATTATTGCTGCGGTTAAAAAGGGTATGTTCTGTGCAGTGGATACACACGAATTTTGGGTAAGGCAAGTGGTGGAAAGCTACCGCCCGGCAGCTCCTGCCACGGTCCGGCAGCTCCTCTCAGATCTTTTTTTTGCCTGTGGGCTAGTCAGTCTCGGAGGGGGCGCCTTCTGCGGCCGCGCTCCTGAGCCGCTGCGAGCTGCCGGCCCTCATCTTCATGGCAGTCCTTTCTGCAAAGTGAACTGGTTTGATACAGGGGCAATGTACTGTGTTTCCTTCCTTCTTTTTAATTGCAACATGGTCTCGCTGTGTGGACCAGTCTGGCTGTGAATTCACAGTCATCCCCCTGCCTCCGCCTCCCAAGTGCTGGGATTAATATTTTCTTCTGGTAACTGGTTTGAAAGTAAATCGGAGCCCAGAATTTCCTTACCCTCCCCCGTCAGGCCCTTGGTCATCAACAGAGTGACGTCCCTCACTTCCTGCCCAGCCCTGGCCTGTCTGCATCCAATATCCTTGTCAGCTGGCCACTCAGAGTTCTTTTCACTTTGCCCCTTCTCTGTTTGTCAGTCAGTTCCCAGGCTTTGTGCATGTGCAACAGCTGCGATCCCAGGCTGCACCCCCAACTCCACAGTCATGCTTTTTTGTGTTTAAAAGACAGGCTGTGTAGCTCAAGCTGGCCTTGGACTTCCTGGGCTCAGGTGGTCCTCCTGCCTCCCAAGTAGCTGGGACTGTGGACAAAGGGTGGGGCAGGGTGACAGTCACATCCTCAGAGCAGCCAGGATTCGCCAGCATCTCTGGCTCCTGCTGCTGCTGCTGCGTTGAGAAGCAGGCCCCTCCCTCCCTCCCCACCCACTAGTCATGCTACCCAAGATTTTCCGGGTGAACCGGGTCACTGTTACTCGTGTCCCTGTATCTGGAGGCCCAGCTCCCTCCCGGCCTCCCCTCCTTGCTGAGTGCCCTGATTTGCTGTGGCTTCTCTGCGTAACCTCAGGTAGACTGAAGTCAGTGAAAGAGGTTCTGCGCTACTCGGGACCAGACCTACAGCGGCTCACCAGGCTGCCCAGCCACGACGTGCAGCGCCTGCTGAGGGCAGCCTCTCTCCACCTCCGGGGAAGCTGTGTCCTTACAGGTGGGTGGGGAAGCGCCTGTGCCAGCGGGCACCAGGGGTGCAGGGCGAGGTGCTGGGGGGCCAGCCTACTCCACAGGCTCTCCAGGAATGACTTCATAGCAGCTGTCCTGAGCCCTTCGGATAGGCGGCCCAGGTGACTTGGGCAGAGCCCACACGAAGGCCCAAATCACAGAGCACTGAGCAGCGGGGCCCCACGGCCTCAGCTCCCCTATAAAGCTCTCCTGGAGTCCCTGCACCCAAGGAGGCCCTCCGTAAGAGACAAAGTTGGGGTCCCAGTGGTATGGTAGGGGCAGCTATGCGAGGCCCTGCCACTTCAGGACATGGTCCCCACATGACTGCCCTCCTGACGCCTGGCTAACCTGAAGCTCCACCGCTCAGACCTGCCGCCACGCACCGTCACACGCTGCTGCTCATTTTCTCTCCCCACTGAGGCCGTCCAGCACTTCACAGCTACACAGACCTGAGAAGAGCTTTTTTGAGATAGGGTCTCTCTATATAGTTCTAACCGTCCTGGAATTCTGAATTTAGCTCAGCCTGGCCTCAAACTCATGGACATGCTTCTGCCTCCCAAGTGCTGGGATTACGTGTGTAGACCACTATACCAAAACTAAGTTTGGGTTTCTTCAGCAGCTTGTGCTCACCAGGGAAGGGCCACGTGTTAGAACGTGTGTGTGGCATCCTGGGGCGTGCGACAGGGACAGACTTAGGCATGCACTGCCCTCAGCTGCCCAGCCAGGGGCACCCTCACCCCGGCACCCTGCCCGTGTGTGTGACGGCTCTGCTGGTCCTGCGCTTCCTCAGAGGCCCCAGGCCCACAGGCCCTAGCAGGCTGTGTCAGGGCCCAGCGGCCGGGGCCCAGCCTGACCCCGCGCTCCCCGCAGCGCTGCACCTGTTCCAGCGGACGGAGAGCTTCCCCGGGCAGCACCGACACCTCAGCCTGGGCTGCCCTGTCCTGGACCGGTTCCTGGGTGGTGGCTTGCCCCTGGAGGGCATCACTGGCCTGGCTGGCCGCAGCTCAGCAGGAAAGACCCAGCTGGCGCTACAGCTCTGCCTGGCCGTGCAGTTCCCACGACAGTACGGAGGCCTGGAGGCTGGTGAGTGGCTGCCCCTCCTGAGGGGCAGGGAAGGCACGGCCTGAGGTAGCTGGCACTCGGGCCCTGTGCTGCGCCGGGGGCTGCTTTCCTCTCAGGGAGGCAGTGGCTATCTCTTAGGCACTGTCCCATGACTGGCTTTCTTCCAAAAGCATGAGGGGGAGGCGAAGCTGTACTTCGGCTGTCAGAAGGAAGCAGGGGGCCAGCTGGCCCTGCAGTTACCACACAGCTTCAGCTGGGGCACCTCGCCCTGCACTCAGGCCCACAGAGCCAGAAAGGTAGGGCAGAGAACGTGGGGTGCTGTCTTGGTTGGGGCCGGCGGTCTGCGCAGCACGTGGCTCTGATACACGGAGGCTCTGCCTGAGCCCTCTATGGGCAACGGTCCTAGCTGCTGACACAATAAGCCATGGGCTCCCGCCTTGGGCCTTACGCCCAGGATGGGTAGCAGTTCTGGGGATCCTAACAAAAGCAGTGGCTGCGTGCTCCAGCTCCTCGTCTCCATCAGTGCCTGCCTGGTACAACAGCTGCTTCTGGTGGCGGAGGCAGTGCCAGGGTCCCCACCAGCACTCCTGAGGTCTGCAGCGATGTGCTATTAGCCTCTGGTGTGCCTTCTTCCAAAACACCCCCATTAGACCCGGGGCCTGTTCAGAAGTCCACATCCTGCCTACTGACTCCTAAAACCGTCACCTGGCTGTGCTGCTCACGCCTGTACCCGTCCTCAGTGACGGGCAGGAGGACAGTGTGAGCTGGAGGCAGGCTGGCCTGTGCAGCGAGACGCTGAGCACATTTCTTTACCATCTGTGGTTTGCTACCTAGCTTCAAGCCACTACAATCTTTCCCCTGTGAGTTCCAGAACTAAGCCCATGAGTCCCAACAGTCCCAGCACCATCTATGGGAAAATGGTTTCTCATCTGAGGCACTGGCATCTCTTGAAAAATCCACAACCCAGGGCTTCCCGCTGGTGGCCCAGCTCTTTTCAGCCACAGGGTCCATGGCCTCTGGCCTAGCAGCGCACTGCACGAGCTCTGCTTGTGGTCCCCATGGCCAGGTGCTCGGGCCTGTTCTGCTCTTGGACTTACCGCAAACGCAACAGCATCACTAAGCAGACAGAGACGGAGCCTGTGGGCCGTCCTGCCCACCAGGCCCAGCGAGGACCTGGAGAGCAGGGACGAGATGGATGGCTGGTATCCAGGAACAGGGGCCGGGTGCATTCAGGCGCCAGGACAGGACTAGCTGTGTTCCTAAGGGACCAGCAGGGTAGCCACAGGCGGTGTAACCAGCTCTGGCCCGCTGCCCTTGGGGGTGAAAATTTATAAGGGACAGAGCTTGAGACGGTAGACTGCATTTGATGTGCAGCCACGGGTCCGTCCGCTTCTCGCGCACACCGGCGCTCTGGCTTCCAGGGGCTGTCTACATCTGTACAGAGGACGTCTTCCCCAGCAAGCGGCTGCGGCAGCTCACTCAGCAGCAGCAGCAGCTCCGGACGGACGTGCCTGCGGAGGTGACCCGGAAGATCCGGTTCAGCAACCACATCTTCATCGAGCACGCAGCTGACGTGGTGAGTGTGCTCATGCTCACAAATGGCCCAGTGGCCCGTGTCACCTGTGCGGCGGCCTATGGTGCAGAGACCAGGCTCGCTCAGAGTACGCTGGCAGGGTAGTCAGGAAAGGAGATGTCAGACACAGGGTCCAGAGGACCAGACTCCCATAGAGTGGAGGCCATGGAAGGAGCCGGCTGCCCCTGAGGTGCCTGTGGGCCAGGCACTCGGGGAGCTGGGTTGATGACTACACTCTTGGACACGAGATTCAATCCAAAACCTTGTCAAGCTGAGGATAATGGTGCGCACCTTCGATCTCAGCATTTGGGAGGCAGAGGCAGGAGAAATCTCTGAGTCTGAGGCCAGCCTGGCCTACATACATAGTTCCAGGCCAGCCAGGGCTACATAGTGAGACCCTGTCTCAGACAACAAAAACTCACAAGTCAAATTCTTATTTAAGCCTGCCCCTTCCTTTGTCCTGTCTTTAGACCAACACCATTACTCTGCCCCTGAAATGCAGACCTCACTGGCTCCTGGACATTATCTGTCGAGCGGCCCAGGAAATAGGAGGGGAAGAAAGACCCTAGACATTAGCAGTGGTGTCCTCTAGGTGGGATCCAGAGAACTGACGAGCCACAGCAGAGCCCTCTCTCGGCTGCTGCTCAGTCAGGTCCACCTGAGCCCGAGGTTTACTGGAGGAGCTGCCGGAGGAGCTGGCCAGGCTGGGCTCAGTTCCAGCGCCAGGAAGCAGAGCCGTGCCCAGGACAGTCATCAACACAGAGCTCTTGTGTGCAGGGAGGGGTGACAGATGGGGAGTGATCCTGTACCCCATGTATAAATGTGGGTGATGCCTGGGCATGGGGAGCACCCTGGCTTGCCCATCTGGAGTGTCTCCTGGCTAGACAGAGTGTTGAGAGGATGGCGAGCTCCAAAGTTCTCTGGCTTTGCCACTCACGATAATAAAAAATTCATTTTTAAATAATAGTCACGAACAGACTTTCATTCTGGTAGACAGTAAGGCATATAAACTTTTAATTTTAAAAAAATGTACAATAAAAATACATTATCACACACAACACAGAACTAAACACGTGAGAAGTGCCACAGAGAGGCCAGGCAGAAGCAGCAGGAGCCAGGTGTGCCCCGTCCTGTGGGCCTCGTGGGCCTCGCAGGAAGGGAACAGGCCACCAACCTTACTGTCCGAGAGTTGCTCTCCAAGACCCTACTAGTGGTATGGTTATTAGTACGTGCCCCACAGCACGTGGGCAGGGAAACTAAGTTAGCAGTGCGGGCTCCCAGCCCGGGGCCCTCCCAGCCCCACCCTGGCCTTCACGGGGCCAGCTCTGGAGCCTCGATCAGCAGGAGCAGCACGGCATTCAGAGTAGGCCAGGCCCGGGTCACTGCAAGAGAAAGCCACGGGTCAGGCCAGGCCAGCGCTGGGGGCAGCTCCATCTCCCGCCTTGGGGTCTGCCCAGCAGTGGGAGCAGTCAGCGTCAGCTTCCCGAGGGCTCGTGGAAATGGAACCTCCTCCCACCTCTCTGAGCCATCAGGCCCAGCTGCACCTGGCAGGTAGCACCTGGCAGGCCCAGCCAGCGCCCGCCGTCCCCGAGGCCCGGGCCCTGGCTGAGGGAGGGGCACTCACGTTGGTGCTAGCGTCTTCTAGGCTGCTGCTGTCGTTTTCCACACAAAGAGGCTCTGCTGGGGATGCCCTAGAGAGAAGTACAGACTGAATTTCACTCTGGGCTGGATGCTGGATGCTGGAAGCTGGTCGCTCCTCACCGCTGCCAATGAGTCACTGCTTGGCTGCCTGCTTAGCCAGCCGGAAGTGCCTCAAGACCCTGAACTTAGGAGCAGTATGGAGGCCCTGGCTGAAACCTCAAGCCTTCTCTCCACTCAAGTACAGCCACGCAGCCACCAGCAAGGCCTCGCTCTGCTAGCACTCACCTACCCTGCCCATCAGGCCTGACCTGTCACCTGGGCCACCCAGCTAGTCAGCCTCTTGACCACAGCACAAGTCACCCAAGCCTAGTGCCAGAGGCCCAGGGCCCCCCAGAAAGCCAGAGCCCCTGCCGTGGGCAGCAGGGGAGAAGATCGCAGCATTATCCCTGCGCTGTCCGCAGTGGCATTTTCTCAGGGTGGCGCCCATGTGGATGTACAGGGTTCCAACCCCTGTGCGGAGTGGGCTGTATCTAATGCGTGCACAACAGACCACTACCCCATCCTACCAGCAGGTCTGGCCTGCCCCATCAGAACTAAGACCTGGGCAGCACCTACCCCCCAGCAGACACACATACACACCCTACTTGAGAGGGACCAAGCAGAGCTGCTCTCTAGACTGCAGTCTGGTGAGGTGATGGTGTCAGCCACGGAGCTGAGGCTGGGTTGGGTGAGCTCAGTGTCTGCTGTGGGGCTACTGGGCATGGACACCACGATGATGGCCACACTCTTCCCATCCCTCCACAGGCCTCAGGGTGAGGGTCTGGGAGCACAGTGGAAGGCGCTATTGTGAGAGAAGAGTGTGGTGCGGGGGGTGGGGGGTGTTTCTGGTGTGAGCTTCCACCCCAGGCGGGCAGGAGGCGGCCACTGGCCAGGCGTGGCCAGTACAGTACCATGCTGTATGTCCACACAGGATACTTTGTTGGAGTGTGTGAGCAAGAGGGTCCCCATTCTGCTGTCAAGGGGCATGGCCCGCCTGGTGGTGGTGGACTCTATTGCAGCCCCATTTCGTTGTGAGTTCGATTCTCAGGCCTCAGCTGTCAGGGCCAAGCACCTGCAGTCACTGGGGGCCACGCTTCGGAGACTGAGCAGCACCTTCCGGAGCCCCGTGCTGTGCATCAACCAGGTAGGAGGTATAGCGGGGGAAGGAGAGGTTGCCCTTGAACTCAGGGAAAGCAGGACTGGCTGGGTGGAAGGGAGGCGGCTAGAGTGGCTGCTGTCGCTAACCCTCGCTTGTTTTTTGTTTGTTTTTTTTTTCCAGGTGACAGAAATGGTGGAGGACCAAGAGTCTGCGTCCGGGCCACTGGGGTGAGTGTGGACTCGGCATGCTGGACACAGAGTGGGGTAGAGTGTGCACAGTCAGCAATGCCCATTTTGTGTCTCAGGGCCTGTGACGAGCACCTCTCTCCAGCCCTTGGCATCACCTGGGCCAACCAGCTCTTGATGCAACTGATGGCCGACCGGGTCCGTGAAGATGGTGCCACCATGGGCTTGCCCAAAAGCCCCACTCGGACTCTACGTGTGCTCTTCGCTCCTCACCTGCCCCTCTCCTCCTGTGGCTACACAGTCAGTGGGGAAGGCATCCGAGGGATGCCGGGGACTGAGGCCTACGAACAGTAGACCAGTGGACACGCTAACCAGGTCAAGAGGCCCTGAGGAGTCCTTCCCACAGCCAGTGTCACGGCAGCTGGTGAGCAGAGACGCCCTCTCCGCCCTGGGGTTCACCTACTGCTGGCCTTCGAGCTGAGCCTCCCATCCTGCCCCTCAGACGAGGATGGTGGCCCGGGGTGTACCCCTCAGCTGCTTTGCCTGGGACTGAGTCAGCAGCTGCCCGCCGGGCCTCCCCTCCCGCAGGGTGCTCTCAGCTCTCCCCACCCCCCCACGCACACGCACACACACACAGGCATGCACACACACACACGCGCACGCACACATGCACGCACACACTCGCATGCACACGCACGCACACACACGAGCACACACGCACACAGTGACACCCAGCACTCGGGCAGATGGGACCCGCAGTGTGCTCTCCCCACACATACACAACCTTCGGGGGCAAAGGAAAGAAGACACGCTGAGGAAGGGCAATGGGACTGGCCTGCCTCAGGCCAAACAGCTTTGGGCAACTTCAGAAAGGGACGCCAGGAAACATGCTTGTGCGTTTCATTTCGGCCCGGCTAAGTCTGTCCAGCAACCCAGGCTCGGCAGCGGTTCAGGCTGGAGGGCACTACAGAGCACCTGACAGGACTACGCATGCTTGGCCGGAGGCCAGCCTCCTGCTGACATCTGCTGTGGACCCAGACTCACCATCACGTGGGCTTGAGGCTCAACAGTCACCAGTGAATGTGGCCTCTGAAAGCAGTGCTGTGGTGCCAAAGCCCTGTGCTTCCAGCCTGCCTGGCAGCACAGGCTCCCCCCACCAACTGTGCCAAGTGGACCCACATGGGGTCATGGGCCCTCTGAGCCAACGAGTCTTGTTGCTCCAGTGGTGAGTCCTCAGCCGGGACACCACCGTCACTGTCCCCATTCCATAGGGCGAACAACACTTACGGTGTGTACCATGACATCTCCAGGGTGGCCCGACCCTGGACTGAGCCTGACAAGCCTCCAGAGCCACTGTGGCCCCCACTGCTCCTTAGCCATTCTGCACGTTAAACCGAGGGCCTCCTACAGGCGCCGAAGGTGCTCTCCCCTAAGCTACAAGCCCAGCCTACCCCTGGCCCTGAAAGCCTGAGACACTGGCATAAATGATGGGACATGGCTGCCTGGGGTGGACTGGGTTTATACAGAACAGCTTCTCAAAACTGGAGAGCTTTATATCAGGAAATAAAACTTTCTTTTTGTAACAAAGTGTCAATACTTCTAAGTTCCTTTCTAGATTACACTGAAACTTAGAAGCACAGCTCCCAGACAGAAACACTTAGAAGCCATGCCCAAAGGCTCCTGGGCCTGTGTCCACCAGCCAGGTCCAGGCGCCCTGCAGGTCCACCCCAACAGTGGTCCGCCTGCTAAGTCGAGAGGATACAGGAACTGTGCGCTCTTTCCAGTGTCGGGAGCAGCTTCTCACCAGATTCTCTGGATGTGCCACAGCCAGCTAGCTGCCCACACTACTCTTGCCACTGCAGACACTGCCCACCTGCTTCTCAGGCATTAAATGCCACCTTGCTGCTCAAGTCTGCATTGCAGGGACCATCGGCTGAGGACTGAGTGCAGATGAGTGTAGGACACAAACTAGGTCCGAGCGCCCCATAAGCCTCATGCACCATGAGCACACGTCTCCAGCAGTTTATGTATATTCCTAGGAACACTGGCTTTCCCAGGCTGGCAAGATGGCCCAGAGGGTAACACACTTGCAGCACAGCCTGAATTCACTCCTGAAACCCATTTGGAGAAGGAAGGAACAGAACGCACACACAGCTCTCCAGATGTGCACACAGTGCCGTGCTTGCACACACCCTGAAGATCTCCCCAGCAGCTTAACAGAGCATTCCTATCTGAACTCTTCCAACACTCAGCGCCTAGGGCCCCATACCGCCCTGGCAGCATCCCGGCTGCCCGCTGTGCCTGCCACCCTGCGCGTCCCAGCAGGAGCCACTGCTGCTCATTGGCTCTTGAGAAGCCTCACCATAAAGAGCCCTCCTGAGAACACCGAGTGCAACAGAGCCTTGCACAGTGCTGACCGCACGCAGGTTCCCGGAGTGCTCCTCCGCAGCTGTGCCAGCTAGTCAGGCCAGCCAGCTGGGCCCAAGAGCCCCTGTCCGCCTTCTGCAGCCTTGGATTACAGGGGGGCTCCCAGACCCCACAGGGCTTTTCGGGGTTCTGAGGAACTCCCAGCCCTCACTTGTGTGGCAAAAGCTTTGTCTGCCTAACCATCTCCCCAGCCCAACCTGCTGCTTTACCCAGAGACACGGTCTCACTGTAGAGCCCTTGAGCGCTCGAGAGCTCCACCGTCGCCTGCTTGCTGGGTGCTGGCCCAGGACTGTAACTGGTTGTGAGCAGTTAATTGCAAACACTTGGAGCAGCACGGCCACCTGGTGTGTGATGAACCGCACCGTCCCTCAGACTGACGCTGGGTGGAGAGGGGCCCCTGCAGCCTGAAGGCCACATCCTGTTGCCCTAAATCAGGTCTGTATGTAGGTCCACTGCTTCTGCGGGCTGTGTTCTCAGCTTCAAGTTGGTCTCACATATTGCCTCCGGTGGGAACTTGTGGAAAGGCTTCTGTGTGCTTGTACACACACCAGGGGAGAGGGGGCTCAGACTATCATTGCACACCCGCCACTGACGCGGACCCCACAGCAGCAGACAGACTGCAAAGCCTGTGGGAAGCAGCTCCGGGCACTGCTCATTCTCAGTGTTTTCACAGTGTTCAAATTTTTAATAGCACCTGGCATAAGTCACGTGCAGCGGCTGATCCACGCACGCCTAGGCCACCAGCTGCAGCCTGGCTTGCCCCTGGCCACAGTGCTGCTGGCTCTCCCAGGCACAGGGTGAAGATCAAGCCACAATTCTGGAGCACAGCTGCGAGGCACCTTGTAAGCATCGGCCTCCAGATGTCAGTGGACATCCCTGTCTAGAGAACAAGCCCACTCCCACCAAACGGGAACGCCCCCCTCTGCCAGGGCTGCCAGGGTGGCAGTGCCCCTGTCACCCTCAGGCATCCTATCTAGTTCAGCCCCAGCCCGCAGGGTGAGGTCAATGTGGCGGGCACTCCGCGCTCTTCCAGCCAGCGGACCATTATTTGGTTCTGTGTGGAAAACTGTAATTAATCAATACTTGTAAGGAGCTCACTCCAGTAGTGTTAGCTCTACTAACGAAACACTAAGCTCTACTAACTAAACTACTAAACACCGAGCACTTGGATTTACAGGCGTAGCTGGGTGCTGGGGTGCACCAGTATGAGGGGTGTGCCTAAGAAGCAAGAGGCCTCAGTATATCCCAGAACCAAAAGTCAGTCTTCAACCCCCATTCCAGGTGTGCCTAGAGCACACAGCCACTGTCGTAAGGGCCTTCATGCTCTGCTCGGGGCCAGGTGCCCGCTGATACTTTGTTAGTTGACTCTGGGCCAGTGAGAGAGCTGTGGCCTCATTGGGTGTGGTGACCTCGTCCTGAGTTCATGTGCCAACACAGGATGTCCTTCATGGTAAGTCATGACGCTGCTCTAGCTGTCAGGTCTGCTCAGAGCCCAAAAAATGGGACCGGTTCTAGGGTCAAGGCGATGGCAACACCCAGCTGCCAATCCAGACATCTACCAGAAAGGCCACTCTGCCAAGCTCTCAGCGTAAGGTGAAGCATCTGTATGAGACTGCACAGGGGACAAGGCTGGGATCCTAAGTGTCCGAGTGACAGCAGCGCATAGTCAAGACTGCTGCAACTCTGACACTACTTCCAGCGAATACGGTACTCAAGCTATTCTTAAAGATCAGCAAGTCAGTCAGCAGCGTGCACTGAGCCACTCCACAGAAGCCCATCACAGTGCAGCGCGCTCAGGGCACAAGTGGGGCAGCTCCTTACTTGGAAGCAGCCTCCTGTGGCTCCGGCCCCCGCATTAAGAACTGACATACTTCACGCACAACCCGGACATGGACATGCAAGGACAAACCCATCAGCACATTGTCAGCCAAAAGAGGAAACACCCTACGGTGACCAATCTCTCTTGCTCTTGGGAATGTTGGAGACCTCGCAACTTGGAGGGTGGACCGTCCTCTCACTTGCCTGAATGTGCATGTCCCTTCTTTAACTGGGTTTAGTGCCTGAGGGAGCCCCCCTCCATTTCTCTGCATGTTCTGCAGCATTAATTCTTAATGCAGCAGGTGCCGCTGCCTTGCTCAGCCGGGGCAGGACTCTGCTGCCTGTCAGGCGGGTCGAGGCTCTCAAGGGCTTATTACCCCAGGGCCGTTCAGTATGAGGAAGAGGTGCGTAAATATGCTCCACTGTTTTGGTAAATTATTAATAAGAAAAACGATTTTGCTATTAGCAAGACAAACCGTGAGGTCTCTATTTAGAAAATCAAACTGAGGCCAGGGGTGGCGTGGCACAGCTTTAATTCAAGCTCTTAGAGGCAGAGGTAGGTCTGGGGTTGGAAACCAGCCCGGTCTCCAAAGTGAGTCCCAGGCTAGCCAGGGCCACACAATGAGACTGTCTGAAAGAAACAAACAAGCAAGCAAGCAAGCAAGCAAGCAAACACCCCCCTTCATTATTTTGGGGAAAGGCAAAGCAAACCCTGAAGCCAGGCGTGACGCACACACCACAGCTGAGCAGACCCTCCGGGTCCTCTGAGCAGGATCTGAGGTTCAGAATGTGAACTGCACACACCTCCAGCAGGCACAGAAGCCAGAGACAGGCCAAAAGGCTAGCCCCTAGGCCCAGGCTCATAGGACCTTCAGTGACGGGGATGAGCCAATGGTCACAGATGCTGTACACACAAATTCCAGCAAACGGCTAGCTCTGTTTTTGACTCTCTTACCAAAAGCTACAGGACAAACTAAACAGAAACACTTCAGTACAGCCCAGTCACACACCGCTGGAGGACGGTACAGGGTTTTCTCTACAGCAGACCATGAGAGACCAATCACAAGTAAATTATAATGTGACACATCCAGATGGTTTTGGTTTATTTTTTTGTTGCTGTTGTTTTGTTTTGTTTTTGAGACAGGATCTCACTTTACGGCTGGCTGGGCCCAGACCTCACTATGTGGAACAAGCTGGCCCTGAGCTACAGAGCTCTGCCTGCCTCTGCCTCCTGAGCACTGCTTCACACCATTCTCAGTGAAGCAGCCGAGTTCTCTGAAGAAAGCCAAAAAGAGCTTTCTTCTCTCATCTCTTTCCTCATAAATGGTGGCAGCAAAGCAGTCTCCTCAGCGCCCTGGCTTTGATCAACGACATCGGAAACTACTAGGATCCAAGTGTTCCAGGGCAGCCAAGTGTGCCCCTCGGCCTGTCCACCAGGACAGCTGTTCTCACTGGGGCCCGCAGGCCTGGCTCTACCCAGGAACACCCTAGAAAGGCAAATCCTGGGGTCCTCCGAGAAGCTGACAGACCAAACACTGTCAGCCAGACAATGCCGGGGTCCGCCGGTACAGGAAGATGCCACCGTTTGACTGCTGTGCGGCATCTAAGCCGAGTCACTGAGAAACGCCAGCACTAACCATGGGTGTGCACCGACACCGTGTCTGGCTGCCAAAGGGGCCGCAGCTCTTACACCACCGCCACTCCAACATCAAGATGGCCACACTGCTGCTGGCAGTTAGCACGGAAGCCATGAGGAAGACAGGGGAAAGAGGAAGGTTCCAAGCGCGCTCCTGAACAGGCACTTCCAGAACTGACTACACACCAGAGTTTCAGAGTCTACCTGAGCAACAGAACCAGCACCCAAATGGCAGGCCCTCGCCAGGGCTGGTGGTGCAGGCCTGCAACCCAGCTACTCGGGTGGCTGAGGCAAGAGGCTCACAAACTCAAGGCCTGCCTGGGCTACAGAGTAAGTCCCTGCCTCAAAATAAACATGAAGGGCTAGTCCAGCTCTGCTCAGTCCCAGTGTGTCTAGCAAGGAGCTCATAGGGCCCATAGGGATCTCTGGCCACTAGATGAAAGCCAGCAATTCTCAGGAACTTGAGAAACAGGCTCCTTTCTGCCCAGAGGAGTCATTTCCGTCCCTCTGGCAGAAAGGGCAGAAGGCTGCCCACGGCAGCTCTAACCACCCATGTGGACCCCCAGGCTCCCTCAGCATCTCCTGTACTTACTAGACATTTCAGAATCAGTGCCATGCTCCTGGCCCTTCTCTGCCCAGCACCTTGTCCTCCGTATAATCCATGTGACTTGTCCA